TTCATCTCAGAGCTATTTCGATTTTGAAGTTCTCTCTGTCGATTTCCAAACTCCAGCAAGGTATCGATTTCTCTCTCTCTCTCTCTCTCTCAAGCTCTTCCTTCCCGTCTCTCTCGATTTGGTATTTATTTGCTTGGAAACCTGTTCAATTTCTGCTTTTGTTTGCTTTGTCATTCTTCCTCACTATGTTGTTTTTTGCTTTGAGAAAATGCCAAATGTGATTGTGATTATGACATTTGTTGGATTTGAGATCATTGACACTCTATGGTTAAAATCTGGCTGGTAGCTTAGCCAAACGCTGGTAATTTGTTGCAGGAAGATTAGATTTCTGAAAAGTAGTTGAATTTCAGTTGTGCAGTTAGCATTATTAAACTGAATTTATCTTCTTATTGAGTCAATGGCCTGTTCTGAATAATCTTTTTTGACTCATTCTGTATTCTGTTATCATTTTCATTTTTCATTTTGCCTTAATTGCCTACTTTAATGTCTGGACTTTTACTAGTAAATGCAAAAAATCATCTACCACTCTTTCAAATATTGTTAGGTATTTGACATCTCAACTCTACAAATAGAAATAGAACAAATACAGGTGCTGCATACTACATACTCATCAAGTGTGCAACTCATCCCATTGCCTAGTTTAATTGAAGCACTTGAGGAATTGGATTTAAACAATGCAACTGGAGGCCTTTAAACAATGAATGTTTTATATTAGAATAACTCATAAAATAATCATTATTCAGAACGGAGGGAGGAGTGAGCTAGGGTTGACATGTCCTCATATTAGAATGACTGATGGGAATTTATTTTGGTTTGTAGCATTTTTCCCCCTCTTTCCTTATGACCTGCTACTGGCTAGGGCCTTGTTTGATGAACATTCCCCAAATTTTTGTATCCATGTTGGGTTTAGCAATGCAATGTAAATAAGGTCAGCAGTTAGACAGTAAAAAGCTGTCTAGATGGAGAACTCCACATATATGTTGCCTAAACATGTAAACATCATATTAAGGCTCTGTTTTTTCGACTAAAAAAGCCACTATTTGGCTATTTAAGCCCAAAAAAAAAAAAGTTTGTTTTTCGGCTTAAAAAGCTAACAATTGAAAAGAAAGAAGCAACTAAGAGACTTTTCTACTTCAGCAACGCTTCAGGTAAGTTGTCCTTACATGCAGAATTCAATGTGTCATCTTTTCTACTTCAGGACTTTGCAATTATTTACGATAGATTCTTATTTCAGGGAATTGACATTAAAGAAATGCTTGTTGGTGCATCATTGATGGATGAGGCAAATAGGACCACCGTGGTAAAGATTTATTATTCATTCTCTTATTATTATTACTATTATTTTTAAGTCGTTGTTGTCTTCTGATAGTAGTTTTGTTACTTGAGTAGCCCAACTATTCTCGTCTTCTCAAGCAACTGAATAATGGACTTTCTACAATTGTGGGAAATTCAATTGAAGAGGGGTGGGGAAATTGTGAATGAAATATAATTTTTTTTAAATACATTTTCTTTACATGGATGATTCTTGTTTGAATCTGCTGAACTAATGGGTCATGGTATTCTTCATTGCAGCATCTCAACAACAACCAAAGATTTCTCATGGAAGGATAGTGGACATTGTGGTGAAATCTGTTGTGGTCATCTCCCGTCTGATTATCTTCTATTTGGCAATGATAAACAGAAGAAGAGGTAAATTAATTGCTTTTTTATATATGTTCACCTTTCATTTGTTCTTCTTAAGGTGTTTGTTTGTTGGTTGGTAGCTAAGGTGTTTGTTGTTATGCTACCTAGGCAGACTAGTTTTATTTTACTTATTCATTATGAGAAAGCTGTTCCGTTAGACCATTATCAAAATTGCACAACCCACTCAAATCTTTCACTGAACGAGTCTTGTTTTTCTGTTTTATTCAGAATCTCAGATCCTATGATAACTTGGTCTTTTTTTATTTTGACAAATTGGATTCATTGTATAACTGGGAAAATTAGTGGGGCGTAATGCATTTTCACAAATTTTATGTCATTCCTAGGTAGTTGGCCCTTGATTCTGTGTCATTCCTGTAATTGAATGATGAAATTCTAGAAGTTTCATGTCTTACGAAGCCATAAGATATGTATCTGGTTCAAAATGCAAAGTTTAGTTTGCTTATCCCTCCATGGCTTCTGGTTAGTTCAAGTGTTCTTTGCATAGTTTTTGTAGTACTTGGACTGTAGGTATTAAAGGCACTGTTATGCACATTCCCCTAGTGTTAGTATTCTTTTTCATATATGAATTGTAGAGACTGTTAGTCACAGATGCATCTACAAAATTTTGGGATGATGCTCTTCAATCTTTTTGTTCATTTAACGTTCTAAATTATACATTCTGTTTTTAAGCTTATATTGACTATCTTATGCACATTCCCCTAGTGTTAGTATTCTTTTTCATATATGAATTGTAGAGACTGTTAGTCACAGATGCATCTACAAAATTTTGGGATGATGCTCTTCAATCTTTTTGTTCATTTAACGTTCTAAATTATACATTCTGTTTTTAAGCTTATATTGACTATCTTATGCATTTGATATGCTTTGCAGTCATGCAATTCTTAGGTATCTTGCTTGTGCATTTCCTGGAGTAGTTGATCACTGGTGAGAATTGTTGCTTCTTTTTTGCAATTAGTTTGCCTATAAAGACTTGTGTTATATCAGTACTTCATATTGTGTCAGATACCAATTTCAGACACGAGACAACATGGCATGGGTGTATGTACACATACCCTACAGTTTTGTCTGTCAAGACTTAGGGAGCACATTCTTGGTTTCCGCAGATTCCTTACAGTATGTTAACTCAATTTTAAAATGAGGGAAGACACCTACTTCCTGTAGTTAAGCTTGGTGGTGTTCATACCCTTGAATCTGGTTCAAGTTTTTCTAGGAGCTCGGAACTATATTAATTTGAAACTTAGCTAAACAGTAACCTCCTATAACTTGCCCATTTTTGAAAACTGAAGTTTCCATATACGATATCCTGTCTCGTGAACACTTCAGCTTCCCAGGGTATAGGAGAACCAAACAGGACAAGTTCAACAATTTTGCCATGTTTCTATCCTAAAATTTTGAGGTTTGATAAATATGAGATATGATGTTCACTTAGCATACTTTTCATTTTTTTACAAAATGCATGTCTATTTCACCTGTGGTATTCATTGCGCATCCCAAAGCTGTTATGTACTTGTGTCTCATATTTGATTCTAATATTTATATTCTGCAGCCTGGTTCTTAACAATGTTTTCTGTTCATTCTTAAAGGTGTCTGATCTATTCAAAAGGTCAAAGATTGAATCAGTGTTGGATTGGCATCACTCTAATTTACGCTGTGGTGCAGGTATTTTATTCCCAATGTTTTGGTATAGTAATTTTTGACCCTTTTATTTATATTTTCTAAGGTCTATGTCGTTCTTGATTGATCTTTCCTTTTCAGCTATTTATGTTCTAAATACTACGCTTGCACCTGTGCTTGGCCTTCAATTGAACCCACAAGCTGCTGCTGAAGGTGAAAAACTATTGTTTGCATCACTTGCAAAGATAGGCCTAGTTTGGGAAGACTAAATAAGTGCACTTTTTGACTTTTTATGAAATATGGGTTGGGTTTGGGTTGAGTTTGAAGTGATGTGTTAGAGAGGTGATATGACTTAAATAAGATGATGTGACTTAAATAGGATAGTGACTTTTTGACTTTTTGTCTTTTTTGTCTCATGCCAAACTTGGCCTTTCTGTCACTCAATTATTTTGTCCAAATCAAACTTAATACGTCGGGCATTTTTGTCCGAACTTTCCACTAGTCTTTTATTTTAACCCATAGCTTCCACTCCAAAATAACACTCGACAATTTTACTAAAATTTGAATTTGTTTATTTGAGTGTCGAATGAAATTTTTTAATTCAATTTGAATAGGTGGCCTTAGAAGTCAGAATTAACCAGAATAGAATCTTTGCAACTCGTTTGTTCACCGTTACAAACTAAAAAACTCTAGTTTAGAAATTCCAAAGCTAAAAAACTATGAAGTATTGAAAAGAAAAAAACAAAAACATAAATAATAATAATAAAAATTCTCTTGTTTGGTTGCAAGTGAGAGAGAGAAAAAAGAAAAAGAAAAAGAAAAAAAGGAGGAGAGAAATAA